ATCTAAGACAAAACGGTGAATTCCCGGGAGTTTCCTTCCCGCGGCGCTGACCTGGCCCCGCTCCCGGAGCGGCCCCGCGGCCCGGATTTCGCTCTTTAAAAGCCGCTCCCGTGCGCGGCTTCGGAGGGAGCTCAGCCCCGGGTTGTGCGGGGCTGTCGGACCGGGGCTCGGAGGTGCAGGCATAAGGGAGCTGTGCGGACGGGTTTAGCGGAGTTGCTTTGTACTTTTGGCATTGCTTTTCACCGTGTCCGAATTCAGCAGTTTCCACAGTGTTTCTTTCGGTTCTAAATTAGAAAACTTGCAGTTTGTCAAATTCTGTGAAAGTGCTGTATACCTTATAGGACCAAACAACGTGTTACTGTGCCCTTTGCTGACTTCTGTCATCTCCATCTGAAAATATGTTGGAATGCAGAAACCTCAGCTTAAGTCATAAATAAAAATTAACCAGTTTCAAGTTTTTAAAGAGAACACATCTGCTCATTTTGAGAGGCTCTTTTCATATTTGTGAGGAGAGGTTCATCCAGATGTGCCCTGTCCTGCTCCAGAAATGCAGGCATCACTTGTTGCGTATGTTGTTGCGTATTCTTGTGTAAAATGACATTAATGGCAAGTGTCCCAAACCACATGAAGGAATCTGTGGAACGAGGATGACATTAAAATATTAGTAAAATTACTCCTTTAAAAATAATAACAAATAATATCTTGCTCCTTTAAAATCCACCATTCTGAAGTTAAATTCCTTCTTTTGTGATCATACAACAGTGCAGGAAATACTGTGTTAGATAAGCAATAATATTTGTATTATGGCCTTTGAGATAAGACAGAGGACAAAGCCTCCCCAGTAAAGAATCCGCAAGGTAAGGAGCTGGGCGCGGGTTGCGTTTGTGCTCGCCCAGCGCTGCCCGCGGGGGTTTGCTCCTCAGCTCAGACAACGCAGGTGGGAACTGTTGAATTTTATCTTTTGGCCCTTCATTGACCAGAGTTGCCATTCTTAATTGTTGGAGTTCGTAAATATTCTCTGGCCTGCCCTTTCCTCCTCCTGAACACAGGACTCTCAACTTGGCTTCCAGATTCTTGTGAAAACCCACTCTGTGAGAGACGCCTACGCTCTTCGCCACACACGTCCCTGGTGTGGTCTGACAGTCACGTTGCATGGCAAACAGGAGACATTTCTGTTCCTGTAGGTCTGCCATCTTGTGTAGGCACCTAGGAAAAAACCTATTAAAAGCAGCAATAAGAAAAGATTAAAATTACTCCCTATTTTTTCTTTTCACATTTCATACAAATTCAGTTGATGAACTTCTGCTTTCCTTTGCTGTAATCTGTTTATCTCGTTTTAGTCTGCAGTTACAGCCAATGTTTTAAACCAGAAAGAATAACACAAGATGCAATATAGTTTTAAAAGGAGACAGTTTTAAAATAGGGAGTGGTCCTTTATGATGGCAGCAAAGGAAAGCTAAGCGGTCTTATGTAGAATTTACTGGTGCCTGTCACGGGCGTGAGTTACTCTTTGAGCGTTACAGTTTTGCAAGTTCTGCCTGTAGATTAAATGTGGTGCTAATTTATTTAGAAAGCCAGACCAGAATTTGTTCTTGTTTTTCTTGATAGTAAATGAAATCTTTTTAATCACATCATATTTTTTTTCAAGAGACAGAAATGATAAATGATCAAAGTTGTGCTGGTTATCACCTAGATCTGCTTCTAGCCCCGACAGATTTCTTTCGTTGTTTTGAGGAAGTCTCTTATGTCTTTTTAGAGCTTACTTTCCTCAGATATGTTAGGATTACTGGGTTTGTTGTGATTTCAGTATTCTCTATAAGTTACATACTTTTTTTCAGATTTACATTCCATTATCTGATATAAAGAAAAACTTCAGAGCAAACGCCAGGAAAGCTATTGCCATTTTTACATTTCCCCCTTTGCATTGGGTTTCTGGCCCACTACTCTTATTTAAAAACCAAAGGCTACGGTCCCGCAGAGCCGTGGGTTAACTCCGTGTTCATCAGCCTGCGCAGATCCTTCCTGCAGAGCGGGATCCTGTGCCAGAGTCTGAGGGGTTTCTCGGAACTGCCGTCGATGGCGTTGCCTCACAGCGGCTGGGAAACAGCGCTTCCTCTCGAGAGTCCCGGGGAGAGGACAAGGAGGAGGATTTCTCTGTGCTGGAGCAGTTTGCTCTTTTTTGGTTTTCCTAAGCAGCAGCAAAGACACTTGGGTTCTTCTTAAAAAATATGTTACTGTGCTCAGTCATGTTTTGTCTGCTCCCAAAACACGAAAGGCTCAGCTCCTGAGTGATAGTTTTCTGGAGCATTTATGAGAAATTGGTCTTTCGAGTATGTCCTTTATTGCCAGATGAGCAGTGACTGCCTCCGAGCAGGTCACAAGAGTTTCCAGCCTCATATTCTGTTTTCACTTAACCCCGAAGATGGGTGTTTTCCATGTTTAATCTTTAGAAGATTGTTTTAAAGTATGGTCAGTCATGCATGTGAGAATGGAAGAAATATGGTACCATTAAACGTGACTTTTCTGTCAAGCACAGAAAGTTGGATCATGAGGTAACTGCCTCGAGCTGAGTCTGACATACCAGGGTGAAGATTGATCACAAGTGAAGTGCTGGTGCTGCTAAATACATTGAAAAAAATAATATTCTATTGCTGCATTTCACAATAGTTTGACGTATGTGGATCTATTCATAAAGGAGAGATGTGGTCTTTATAAGAAGTGTTGTTTCTGTGCCTTGCTCAGCTGAGACAGTCTGGCTGCTGCCCACCTTGTGCTCATTACGAGTGAATATTTGACAGCAGGTACTCAGTGCATGCGAATCTGCCCCGTTTTAGACAGGAGTTACTTGAGAGGATGTGGCTTTCGTAGCCTTTCAGGCTGCACATCCTTACATGTACACAGTGCCCAAATGCATGCTTCCAAAAGGTCATTAGGTTTTCCCTAAGCTAATCACTTAACAAGCGTGTGCACCGCGGAGTTGCTGATCCCCCGCCAGTTCCTCTTGTGCTGGTGAAGCTCAAACCTGTAAGGGTTGTCCAAGGCTGGAGCAGGGGGTGTTGAACCACTGCCGACAAATGCGTTTGGTGGGTGCTGCAGAATTGACAGGAGAAAGCATTTCTGCAGAGAGCCCACAGCCCTGCAGCAGGAGCTGTGCCAGGCCACACAGCCACCGCTGGGATTCGAGGGCAGAAATAACCCAGCACTGGGGGTTCGAGGGCAGAAATAACCCAGCACTGGGGGTTCAGAGGCAGAAATAACCCAGCACTGGAGGTTCAGAGGCAGAAATAACCCAGCACTGGGGGTTCGAGGGCAGAAATAACCCAGCACTGGGGGTTCGAGGGCAGAAATAACCCAGCACTGGGGGCTCAGAGGCAGAAATAACCTAGCAGTCGGGGTTCAGAGGCAGAAATAACCTAGCACTGGGGGTTCAAAGGCAGAAATAACCCAGCACTGGGGGTTCAAAGGCAGAAATAACCCAGCACTGGGGGTTCAGAGGCAGAAATAACCCAGCACTGGGGGTTCGGGGGCAGAAATAACCCAGCACTGGAGGTTCAGAGGCAGAAATAACCCAGCACTGGGGGTTCGAGGGCAGAAATAACCCAGCACTGGGGGTTGAAGGCAGAAATAACCCAGCACTGGGGGTTCAGAGGCAGAAATAACCCAGCACTGGAGGTTCAGAGGCAGAAATAACCCAGCACTGGGGGTTCGAGGGCAGAAATAACCCAGCACTGGGGACTCCACAGTTGTCAGCACTTGTAGGGCGCTCCCTCCAGGCTTGGATAAGGAAACACCCAGAGGAAGGGACAGCAGGGTCGTGCAGTGACAGACGATGCGCTGCTCGGCCACTTTATCCTTCTTTATACTGAGTGCCAAGTCGTGGTTATTCCATATTGGTTAGCACAACTCTACCTACAAATTGACAAAAGTGCTAAATGCATCACACACACTTCTGGTGACATGGAAGCTGGTAGCCATCTCTAATCCAGAATATGGTCCTCCGCTAAGTGGCTGCTTTGCATCAGCGGAAGAATCTTGGGGAAACAAGTTTTCTAAAAGTCTTAATTAATTTTTTCATCTGCTTTCAGTTTACTTTTGCAACTTCACCATGCTTAAAGAATTCTCGTGTATAATTTTCCTTCCCTGATGTTGTGCTCATTGTCATCACGTATTTTACAACTTCTTCCTAATTGTTTACTGTTTTAATGAATCTGCGTTCTGTTGAAGCAAGGCTCAGAGGTCTTTGCTAAGAACTTTTTGAAGGGGGTGATATTCGTAATGTTTAGGGCACGGGTGACAGGGCCTGGAGAAACCATTTCAGTGAATAGACCAGGCACTGCGCTGTTAAATTCCTCCAGTCCCGAGTGCAGTCGCGGGGCTTTGCTGGGGCCGATTGTCCATGATTTTGGTCCTGTGCTCACCCTTTCAGCATCTCGGGGCTAGGAGCTAAAAGAGCAGGTCCATTAAGGATCCTCTGTAATTAACACTTTGCAGAAAAGTCTTGCAGCTCCTCTGTGTTATCCTTACCCTTTTACACTTCTCGTTCTATGGGCAGGTGTCAGGGGGATCAGGCACTGCAGGGATCTGAATCCAGCAGAGCAGCAGGGAGAACCGTGCCCTGCAAGCTGATAACAACGCTTCTGTGGCAGGATTTCGGCACGGCTCATCCTGCTGGGCCTGGCAGCATCAGCGATGGCGAGACTCCATACCCTGTGGATCCTTCTCTTTGCATGTACGGCAAATGAAGGTACGTTTGTCAGTGTTGTAAATGACTTTACTGACGTTTCCGTCGACAGTGTTTTCCCATGACTAGTAGGCAGCCCTGTTACCATTAGTTAACTGATATAAAATGTGTAACTTTGGCTGTCAGAAGTGTCCATATATTAGAACAGATTATTCAATTTTTTCTTTTTATTGACCTTTTCCATATGGGAGAGAAAAAACAGGAATTAGCAGGGAGCAGAAACTGAGGTTTGGAAGGTCCTTGCCCTGCTGCCCCCATTGCCGATGAGCGCTGGGCACCTCGCTGCAGAGAGGGCGCTCGGCAGTGCCCCGGGCGGCTCCAGGATGGTTCCATAACCCACTGCTGCAGTGCCTAAATGTGTATCTCTAAATGGGTATCTCTAAATATATATCATCTCTTGTATGTCTTATATAGGGAGCTTGCCCATTATAAAGGCAAGCTGGACATATGAAGTCATGTTTTCCAACAACGTGTTTTTACTCTCAGAAAAATGAATCTTCCATGTTGTGTTCTGTAGTTTTTAAGTAGTTCCCCAGTGGTCTGCAGGGATTTTTTGTTGTTGTTGTTTATTTTAAAAAAGCAAACCAAAATAGTTAAAATTTTAAAAAAGCCTGTCTCTAAAAAGAACAATTAGTAGCTACTTTCTTATGCACTATGAAATAGTACAGTTTGAATTAATGAGAAGGATCAGGGTTTGTGAGAGCACATTGGCTGGGTCATCTGATCTAGGTAATCCCATATTCTGTCAATTGTCTTTTTCAAGGTTTAATTTTACAGATATCCCCCCTGGTGAACTGCATGTTTTAAGTTTCTTCAGCATGGCATTCTAGTTGAGGATTTTAAAAAATCCAGTGTTTCGGTTCCCTTTTTTAACTACACGAACTGAAAACAAGCTCTGTGCTGTATGTGGTTTCAAAAGGAAATTCTCAAATATCTGAGGTTTAAAAAAAACCATGGTGTAGCAGAGATGGAAAAGGGAGAAGGTCACAAGAGTACAGAATTTGGAGCTCTAGAAAGACATGAGAACAGTGAAAGGCAAGGTAGAGTAAAGCTGCTGATCACCATAGCTTAACACAGCAGGAGGAGCTTCATTTAATTGAAGTGTTTTGGAAAGTGTGAGATCATTAACACCTTGAAAAATAATGATGGTCACCTTTAAAGGGCACCCGACCGTCATCGCTGGGTGGAAAAGGCCATGTTTCTGCTTAGTCAAGTTCATAGTTTTGATTCTCCTCCCTGCGTGCTGCTTCTCCCCAGCGGTGGCTGCTGCAGGACGTGCTCAGGACTTCGCGTGCCTCACCGACTACGACAGCGAGCTGGTTTGTCACTGGGAGGTGCCTGCGCAAACGAATTGCTCCAGGGAATTCCTGCTCTACTACAGGGAGGAGTTTTTATTTCTGACGTAAGTGTTTTAAAAGACGTTACGTTACCATTGCTGGAACTTCGTATACCCTATAGCTGTTACCAGCTTTGATTCCCTCTCTTTACCGTGGGCGTCTAGGACAAAATGTAATCTGGATTATTCTTCTTGCCAGGAGGGAAATGGGTTGCTGCAGTGAGCAGCACGCCTGTTCGGTGGTCTGCTCTTCTGCATCCCCTCTGCACTCTGAGCACAGAGGAGGGATCAGCAGTGGTGGGGCTCTCCTGTGTCTACCCAACCTTCATTTCATGCGAAATTTTACCTCCTTCAGGAGCAATCTCCCCCAATTTGCCCGTCTGCAGCCTGTGTGAAAGGGGCTCTCCCCTGCAGCGCCGTGGTGATCTCTGCATGCAGGGTAACGCCGTGTGCCAGCACAGACCCTCGTCCCTGTTCTGCAGCAGCACCAGCCCTCATCTCCTACAAAGGGAGATGCGTTTGGGCTCTCCTGTTTCTCCACACAGACATCCCAATAAGCTCACTTTGGTAAACCTGTTCCTATACAACCAAGCTGTCAGACCACTCCTTCAGAGGCTTGAGTGTGACAAAAGGTGTTAATTTTCCCCCTTGGGATCAATCCTTAGCCTTTCTGTCGAGTTTTCATTTGCACGACACAGATGTCCAAGGGGTGCTTGGGTTGTTTGGGTGTTTGGGCTGAATGTTTCTAGGAACTGAGCTTGTTTTTCTCTGGTTCAATTAGCTCTGCACAGTGGGAATCTGGATTTCACCTTTTCAAGAAATAATCCGCCACGCTGTCTAAACACGACCTCGTTTTCTGCCTGTTTTTCAGAAATCACGTGTGCGTCCCTGAGAATGGAGAAGACGGTTCAACGTGCACTTGCACCATACGTCGCAGTTATTTTGTGTCGGGCATCACATACATTCTAACTCTGCAGTTCAATGGGACCGAGGTGTGGAATTACAGTGTCACGCCAGCCCTGGTTGGTAAGGAACTTCACTTTGTCACCAGAACACCTGGTTCCAGGCTTTGCAGTCCTAGCTACCTCCTCATTCGTGTCACTGGGACAGCTTTTGTTTATCGGAGGTGAAAAGTGCTGTGCTGGCTTAAATGCAAAATCCGTTTGCCTTAGAAACCTGATTCTGGAGCAGATCCTTCAGGAAAGAGTATAACGAGTACGGGGGTGAGCAGTGGGGTTCTTCCTCTGGTTGTGCCCTCCCGGCCACAGCCATCAGCACTCTGGGCTGGGACACGTCCTTACTGCACTTTACTGTGGCTGCAGAATTTGGGGGTGAAGAGGAAGGGGACACTTCCAGTTTCTAGAAAGACACCAGGCTGAAATTTCCTCCGTGCCTGTCTCTGCCATATGCTGCTTTCATGTTAGCTGAATCATTCCCCGAGCAGAGATTTTTACAGTAATTGCTGTTGGATTATAACAACCAGTGATAAAAAGTTAATGACTCTGCTCTTCCGCAGGGCAGAGCACAGATACAGGTTATGTCTCCCTCTGGGCACCTAGTTTGTTTAGAGCAGCGTGCTTGTTCATAACACTTGTCACCTCAGACACTCAGAGAAATCACTCACCTACCCCGGGCAGGCTTTCATCCACATCGACGGGCTGGTTCTTCCCAAAACACTTGGCTGTTGTTGCTGCTCACCAGCAGAATGAGCAGGAGCCTGCCCAGTTCCTAGGAGGACCAGGGGAGCACCGTGCCTGCCTTCACACAGCTGCTGTTGCACGGGTTGTTCCCCATTTTCCAGGCTGAACTCGCACTCTTTTCAGCCACTCGAGGGTTCTGTGCTCGCCAAGGAGCTCCTTGCAGTGCCCTGTTTGGTCTCCAGACCCTTGTGCCACAGCATAGCGAAAAGGGCCATGGACTGCCTTCAGATTCTGGTGAACGCTGCTGCTCTGCTTCTCTCCATCAGCACTTTCCAATTGCCATGTTCTCCTTAATTGTATTTTTTTAACATACAGTTAAGCCAAGGGCCCCCAAAAATCTTGCCATTGAGAAAACTGAAAATGGTAATTTCAATCTGAGCTGGGAGGAGAGCTACTCTTCTTCATCCATGCTGTCTGGGCAGCGGGCCATCTATGAAGTGAAATACTGGAGGAAGCAGCACCCAGCCGAGGTAAGAGACAGCAGCTTTTCACGTTCTGTCTCTCTGGAGCTTTTGGGTTTAACAGGTCCTGTGAGAAGTCTTGAAATGGTTTAATGAATAACGGTGCAAGGGTCCCACAGTGTTCCTCACCACGCGCTTCCACAGGTGACATTGCCCCAGGGGGCTCAGCTGGGCTTTAAAGCGCTGAAACTCTTCTGCCTGCGCCCCAGAGTGGTCTGCTGCTCACAGGCAGGGCAGAGATTGAACATGCCGTGCTTCTGTCCCCTGAACTTCATTTACTCCTTAGTTGTAAGGAAAATGGAGGCTGTTTGTGACTCTGGGGGACTCGAGGCATTTCAGAGCCCCTCCTGAGCGATGCAGAACTTTGGGGCTGGGCTGATCTGGCAGGGGAAGAGCAGGCGTGGTGGCACATCACAAATACCGCCCACCCGTGACAACATGCAGGTCGCACAGCAGGTTAGGCACGGAGTCATTCACTTGTGACAGCTCGCTGAAACACACAACGCTGTTGTTAATTAATTGCTGTCACTAACCCCTCACCTCACAGAGAAATCAAAGCAAACTTTCTCGCTCTTTTCAGGTTTCTGTAAAAGCAATTAACTACCAGGCAAAAAGCTTTGAAATTACTGCGAGCTCCTTGAGGAGAGGCTATGACTACGTGGTGAGTGTGAGGTGTAACTACACAGACTACCCGGCCTACTGGAGCGAGTGGAGCGAAGAAGTCGAGTTTCACTATGGTGAGCGTTGTAACAAACAGCAGCGTGGTCAAAGGATGGGACAGTTTTACAAACCGTGTCGTACAGAGCCCGCTGCTCTCCTCTTAGGGGAGAGTACGCAGTCGTCATCTTCAGTGCAGTGGGGGTACATCTATAAAGGCTTCCAGGAGACTCAACAAGGCAGCTCCTGAGGAACCTGAGGAAGAGAAGACCAAGGGACGTTGGGTTGTTTAGGAGATGTGTTTATTCTCTGTAAATGTTTTGTGAAGTAGACACCAGGGAAGGAGAAGGGATATTTAAACTAAAGAGCAACATTGATGTAAGAGCAGGTGTGTATAAATGAACAAGAGATATTTAGGCTGCAGATTAAGCAGTACTTGAACCATCGGATGGCTGAGGGTTTATAAACGTCTCTGAAGCACAGAGAGAGAATGAGGAGCATAGCTGCAATGCGGCGGAGGTGCCAGTGCCATTCAGGGCTGTGTGACAGGTTTGTCCCCCAGACGTGTGTGTTGGCGCTGAGGAGAGCGAGGGCTGCACCCGCACCACTGCCCCTGGTAGCTCTGTATGTGCTGTTTGTCTGCTGGAGCCTTTGTCTCACATCCTCCAAAGGAGCGTTTTCTTAAGGCACTAAAGAGGAGCAGTGAATTTGGTATTGGCAGTCCTTGTATTTATATGCACGCACACATGTATATGTGTATGTTTATTTAACAGATTACCAAGTAACAGCGGAAGACATTCTGCAGATGGCTGTTCCCGTATCCTGCATACTGATCATGGCAGTGTCTGTAATCTGTTACTTCTGCTTTACCAAGTACGTATCGTGCTCTTCGCGGGTTTTACAGAGCAGCAGTTGCACAGATATCAGTATTGCTATTGATTAGCCAAACGTCTAGGTCAGGGATCTCATGTTTTGTTTTTCCTCAGCAATGTTATCTCGCTCTCTATGAGCAGTCATTTTGTAAAAACAAATCAGTTGCACTCAGTCATTTTCCAAGTAGATAACTGAATATTCTCTTTTAATCTTACTACCATAGGCTTGTTACAGCATCCAAACCAGGCTGCAGTTTGGGGGTTTGTCAGTTTTGGACCCCAGTCTTTGCTGGAGTTCCAGTAATGATGGTTAAGTGTCTATTTCTTTAAAAACAACTTAGTGGTAGTGTGCAAGCAGGATCCTATCTGTTTGGCACATCATTTCACACATGGTTAGGGGGATACATGACTGTGGCTGTGCAGAGCAGTCACGCACCACCCTACAAACGTGTTGGTAGCTGTTCAGTGAGCAGCAGCACTTGAAGATGCACAGCACATCGCTGCTGCAATGCAGATGGCGAAGAGGGAGAGGAGTGCACACTGATGAAGCCAAAATGCTGTCAAACCAAACAGTTTCAATTCTTCCCTTGCAGAGTGAAGAAAGAATGGTGGGATCAAATCCCAAATCCAGCAAAGAGCCATTTGGTCGTAAAAAATGTCAAGGTAATTTAAAGGCTTTGCAAAAAGTACCTTTTACTGATCACCAGAAGTAGAATGTGTAATAAGTGCTATTGTCTGGCTAATGCAGGGATGCTAAATGCAATCCACATGTGTCCTAAATCTCACTTGTATCTTTATTAGTTTTCAGTTTTGTGCTACGTTGATGAAATTAAGTTCCCTTTCCATGACTTAAAGCAGAGTTCTATCGAAAACCAAATGTAAGTAAGATAAAAGAGGGAAAAAAACCAACCCAAACAACTTTGCTTTACAGCATAATATAATTTCCTATTACATAGACATTAACTGTCCTTTCCTTTTTGACTTCCAAAAACAGAAGTTGCAAGAACTGCCTGGCTCGAAATCTGTCAAGGCAAAGCTTCAAGGGAAAAGATAACATCAGAAACGTTGAGAAATCTTGTGGTTGCCACAGCAGGTCTGGAGAGTGGTTTCCAGAAGGCAGCGGTGCAGTTTTAACCCCTGAGACAATCCTGGTTGAAGAGTCTTTAGAAATCTGTGGACGTCTGACAGACTCTGAGGCCGAGAGCCAGGAGGAGACTGGTGACCAGGTCACCACCTCTGAGCCATGCGAGAGCGGTGCCAGTGCCTTCAGAGAGCACACTGAGCACCACGACGCCCTGGCCAGCATGTTCATGGAGCTCCTGGCAGATGAAAACAGCATGCAAGGCAGTAAAGACCCAGACATCGTCATAGGTGAGAATAAAACCTGTGAGAAACTGGAGTCGGAAAATCCATCACAGCGAAACCCAAAAGAAAGTGCAGCCCTGAGTTGGCATCCACGTGATATTTCTGATACAGTCTCCCTTTTCACCAAAGCCTCTCAAGATGACTACAACTGTAGTACAGCCAGCAAGAAGTCAGAACAGTCAGAAGAGTCCTTTGAATCTGGCTACCAGAGCTCCAGCATCAATTCTGTTTCTCTGGATGCAAGAGATCTTCAACACATGGTTCATCAAAGCCTTTTCTCGTGCAGTTCTGAAAGTCAGCATGATTCGTGTATCCTGATCCAGGAATCTCCAAATAAGCCATCCTCTGGGACCAAAGAAGACAGGATAAGCAACCCTGCATACAGGAGTTTTGATACCCTTGTATCCATGGGTCTGTGTAGCTCTGCCTACAAGAGCTGTGACACCCTGACATCTCCATCCATGGAGTCCTGTTGTTCTCCCTACAAGAGCTGTGACACCCTGATGTCTCTGTCCATGGAGTCTGGTGGTTCTCCCTACAAGAGCTGTGACACCCTGACATCTCCATCCATGGAGTCCTGTTGTTCTCCCTACAAGAGCTGTGACACCCTGATGTCTCTGTCCATGGAGTCTGGTGGTTCTCCCTACAAGAGCTGTGACACCCTGACATCTCCATCCATGGAGTCCTGTTGTTCTCCCTACAAGAGCTGTGACACCCTGACATCTCCATCCACGGAGTCCTGTTGTTCTCCCTACAAGAGCTGTGACACCCTGACATCTCCATTCATGGAGTCTGGTGGTTCTCCCTACAAGAGCTGTGACACCCTGACATCTCCATTCACGGAACCCTGCAGCTCTGCCTACAGGAGCTTTGATGTTCTTGTGTCTGCGTTCAAGGAACCGAGTATCTCTGCGTATAAGAGCTTTGATGCCCTCCTGTCTCAGTCCGTGGCTAGCAGTAGCCTGCCTCTGTGTTTTGAAAATGCGTCCCCCTCGCCACTTTTGATGCAGTTTTCGGAGAGAGCGGAACGTAGCTGTGGAGATCAAGTTTACAGGCCCCCTAGCAGTCAGACGTGTTACACCAACTGCAGATCTCCCTGTGCTCAGGCTGATCTCCCCAACACTGGTTCAGCACGTACCGGTTTCCCATTTTTCTCCACACATACAAATTACAGTGCTTCAGCTTTCCTGCCAGAGGAAGAAATGCATAAGCAAGTAATGTATCAAAATGTTCAAAAGAAAGGCAATGTAATTTCTTGCCCTGTAGGGCCTCAACCGTCTGGTTATCGACCTTTTGATAATGCAGTTAAGTGTGGTGGTATGTACTGTGAGAATGACAGTGAGCTTGTCTCTAGGTCCCTACATGAACCCTTCGTTCATCTTCAGTACCACAACATGAAAGAAACACCTCCGGGCACCATCCACGACCCTGGCCAGAGGACAGATGACCACACGTGTTTGATGGCACAGGGTTTTGACTGCAGCGTTGTCCCAGGTTTGGCCTCTAGCGCGAGCGTCACACAGACCAGTGATGGCAGCCTTGGGATCATTGGCTCTAATGAGCTGTCTAGTGACAGCAAAGATGAAAATACCAGCAGAGATGAGCAGCTGTTGCATTTGTTAGAGCTGAACTGTCAAGATTTTGACAGCAGAGAAAGAACTCTAAGGGGGACAGCACCCAACAGCTTTAACCACACTGGTGAAGGAATGCAGGAGAGCAGCAGTACCAGACCAAATACTGACTTGCAGTGTCACATGCACAGCCACTTGAGCAAACCTGGAAATGCAGAGGTGGTTACGTGCGTGGCGGGCGGCTCGCCAGAGGGATCACGGGACAGCACAGGGGGAAACCTGGCGAGGAAAACGGCAGAGCCCCCGGAGCTGCAAGTCTCAGACCGGTTGTCACCTCCTCGCTCTGTGGACACCTCCTGTCCATCTGGTGCGCACACTGTTCACAGCGAGGGTTCCAGACGGGCACCTGCAGTTGAAAAAAGACCGGTAAAACTATTGAGGGCAAACAACAGGAAGAACGAGAAAAAAATTAAACTTGTGCAAGCCCTCGCACAGGAGGACAACTGCTACATGAAGGTAGCCTAGCCACACATGCCAAGGCTGAACCAAACCAGTCTTCAGAAACAAACTGTTTGGCAAATTGAAACGTTGCTGCTTCTTCCAGTCTTGTCTGCGGCGGTGCAGTGAGTCACTGGGTTGTGACCCTCGAGGCTGCTCAGGGCTGGCAGCCCGGCTGTTCAGGGGAACAGGCGCAGTACAGGTTAACCCAACAGCCGCAGCTGGAGCAGGTGCAACACAGGTTAACCCCTGACAGCCGCAGCTGCAGCGCTCGGTGCAGCCGGAGCAGCCGTTTCTCTGGCCGGGGGTTCCTCTGTAAAGGAGCAGCAGCTGCACAGGGGAGCAGTCTCAGGGCAGTGCAGAGGTGGTGCAGAAGGCGCTGACACAGCGGGACGGGGCTGTCAGTGCGGGTCGGGGTGCAGTGACCGCCGGCGCTGAGCACCGCACAGCTCCTCACTGGTGTGCTGGGAGCAGGGAGGTGCTGTGTGCCTGGCCCCAGCATGGGGTGTGTGTTTCTATGTTTGCTCAATCGGGACCTGAAATAAACATTGTCATTTGGGCTTAAGCAATGCAGTGATTGATTATTAGTTCCTTATTCTGTAGAAGCAAACAGAGTTATTTCCTACTTCTGCAGCTATAAATGGAATCAGAGATTTTTAAGCAGCGTTTTCCCAGAAAATTTAACCCAGTTTATGGTCAGACTCCCTAAACTGATGGAGTAATTTTTTTTTTGCTTCTTGTCCTTGTCTTTGTTCAGTCAGAAGGGGAATTATGCCTGCAGCATAAACTTCCTGTTCGATAACTTCCAAAAGTTTTATTCATGACTCTCAACTTTTCTAGGACATTATAATGTATTTTGGTATGGTAAATTCCACTCTAATATGCTGGCAGTGGCACAAAATATTTAAGAACCATTAAGTAATTTCATATATGTGTATTCTCGTTATTTAGAAAACCCTATTTGCATTGCCATTCATAAGGAAGCAACTGTAATGCTAAGCACAGAAACTGGTTTAACATGTTTTGTAAGCAAAACTATTGTACTGCAAATCTCTCATGCAAATCTCAGGTTGGCCAAATAGTAGAGGTATCTACGGATCAATTTTGCAGCAGTAAAAAAGGGTACGTAAGCCCTGTAAGGAGACTCGCAGTGAAGCATGTTTAGATGTGGTAGTTGATACTTGTATAGGCACTGATTTGGAGCTCACTTTCGATAAGGCGGTGGTTAACGAAGGTTCTTGCTGCTGGTAGCTAATGTGCTGATGAACACGTTACTTATTTGTTTTTGCTGACTAGATCAGGTTGGACATTATTTCCACTCAGGAGAGGTTTGATTCCATCAGAAATGCTCTCTTTGCATGAGGGCATCGCTGCTGTAGTTGTGTGCTGTGGGGCAGATGCATGAGTTTCCAGGACCCGTCGGCCAGACCCGCCCTGCAGTGGTGGAACAGGAAGGTGTGCAGAGGCTGTGGTCTGCCTCATGAGTAAGCACATTTACTTCCCTAAATCCACGCACAGTCAAGTTTAAGCAAGACCCCACAGCTCGGTGTTGCAGCTGCCCGGCAGGGGTTGCTCAGTGCTGACTGCAGTCGCACGGGGCTGTTATGGGGGTGAGGGACAGCGGCGCTGCTCTGTGCGATCCTCCTGGTGCTTGGGTGCTGCAGCCAGGGGACCTCTGCCCAGCCAGGACAGGAAGGCTTTGCTCAGCCCCAGCTTCTTCTGCCTTTCCCTGGCTTGTTTGTGTAGCCGTGCCCTCCTGCCCACTCATTCCTGTTGCATGGCTTTCTGTGCATGACTGTTCTTCCCCTGCTCTCCCTTCAGTATTTCTGTGGTGAAACAGAGCTGTAACCCTTCGAGAAGGGGCAGCCCTGTGCCTCTGTGTAACCCAGAGCTGGCGATGACCGTGGGACCGGCTGCCCTGCCATAGGCAGGGTGCGCACACAGCGGGAGCCCGTCCACGCTGCTCTCCACTGCCTCTGCTTTGGCCGCCCGCAGCCGCAGCGCGCAGGCCGGCTCAGTGGTGGGTTTCTGGCCAGAGATGCTCCTGCATGGAGCGTGTGGGAGTTGTGGCTCCAAGCTGGCCCCCAGGGCAGGGTGTGCTGGGACCACCCTGCGCAGGGCAGCTCGCCCTCCCCAGAGGGGCCTTGCTCCTGGGGGCTGGGACCCTCCGAGTACGTCTCTTAAGCTACTGAAGAGCTCCTACCAGGACAGGGAACTGCTGATCGTAGTAAGTGTATTTTCAGTGTTTTCCAGTCTATTTTGTGTGTGTTTGTTCAAGAGGAGGGTTGTGCCAGGTTTTAGCCTGGTTATAATGCCATTTATTACTCTCTCACAATCGCTCCACCTCCACATCTTTCTCACCTGGCTGCCTACCAGGTATTGACAGTCTGACTCACCGTGAGTGCAGTGGGTTCCTGAGAAAAGCAGGTGAATTCCCAGTGCAGGACAAGCCGATGTGCTGAGAACAGCTCAGCCTTGCCTTTCCTCCTCCTACACCGCGCTTGCTCCTTGGAAGTGCGCACCTGCAGAGCCGCCGTTGGTGAACTCGTCAGTCACAAGTTTGTCATTGCCCATGGAAAACAGACAGTAACCACAGGACGAGGGTGGGACTTGCGTGGAGCAGGAGCTTGAGGATGGGGGGTTAAGTCCTTGGGGTAGGGAGAAGTCAACTTTGGGTGAGAGAGGGGCAGGTTTTTAAATAACTTGTCTCTGCATCTTGCTTTGTGTATTGTCCAGCCAGGGTGCAGGGATGTGCAAGTGCTGATCCATCATGAGATACAAACTTTGTCTAAGGAAACCAGTTCTTACAGGTGTTGCATTCTAGCAGTGACCTGGCCGAAGGAGCAAAGGGCAAGAACAAGATGAGGGGCAGTGACTTCCAAAACCCCACTCCCTGACGTGCACCTCTGACTGTGGAGTTACGAGACCAAGAGGAGAGTTCATTTCTCCTATAGCCACGTCTTCTCTCTAGAAAGCTCCTTGGGGAGCGCCATTTGCGCAGTCTGAATTCCAGCTCTGACAGAGGTGCTTCCAAAGTGTAATTCTGCACGCAGTTGCTTTCACAAAAACAAGTGGTTTTGACTAATTCGCGGGGGAGCTGTGCCCATGCAGTGCACACCCACACACACCCCATACGCACACCCGCACACAGTTTCCTCCCCAGGCTCCCACACGGTGATGTATCATGGTTGCATGTTTCCAGAACTCGTTTCTTCACCACGCGGCTGTGACGGAGGCAGCCGTGCGGTGCCATCAGCTTCTCCTTGGGTGCTGCAGTCACAAACAGCGCCCCAGGCCCCGCTGAACTGCGGTGATGAGGTCGGAAGCCAAGCAGCAGCTCCACGGCCCGACCGGAGCAAGGAGAGCAGAGCCGCGGTTGGGTTTTGGCTGCAGGGTGATAGCTCTTGCAGCAGACTGCTCCTAAGCAAAGGAAAAAAAGAGCGAGTGAGGAAGAGGGCACTTTCCAGGTACCTCACCAACACACAGCCAAATTTAAATCTTAATAAATTGCTGTACCTTGGTGTGTTTTCCCTGAGTACCTAAGAACAGCCATCAGCAGCACCACTGGTGTGCTAAATGCTGGCTATTCCCATTCCTTCCACAAGCTGAGGAAGCGATGTTGAGAGGAACTCTGTATCTCTGCCAAGGTGCTTTGCTCTGTGTCCCTTGTGCTGTCCTGCTTGCCCCTGCCCCTTCCACGGCTTTCCACAACGCGGGAGTTTCCAGCCAGCCACCTCCAGCAGGACTGCGAGATGGGAGAGGAGGAAGCTGCTGCAGCTGTAGGTGACCAGAGCGGGAAGTGCGGCACATTTAGCTGCACAGGGGGCGGAGCAGCTGCTTGCTGCCTTTTCTTTTGGTCTTGGCCAGAATACTTCCTATAAAACCCCAACCATCTGTGCAGGAGACCTAAACCTCTGTATTCTGAATGCAGAGAGGCAATTGTAGCGGCAAGAGCTGGTGCGGCAGCAGCCTGCGGCCCGCAGCCTGGCTGACAGGGATGGCTGCACCGGCCCTGTCCCGCTCCATGGAGCGTGGTGGGTGTCCCGAGGAGCTCCTGTCCCTGCCCAGGGGTGGATCAGGGCTCCCATGGCCCTGCCCGTGCCAGAGCAGGGCCTGCGCAGCACCCGGTGTTTGTGCTCTGCTTGAAGGTTACCGAGTCGATGACTAACGAACCACTGGGACTTTCCTACTTGCTGCTGTTTCCCCAGCTCTTAGACATGGGGGAATTTGCCATAAGCTGAAGAGGGTGAGGTTGGCTGCTTCTCCCCAGCTCAGCCACTGCTGGTTTCACTTACTGTGAGCCGCCCACACAGCACAAGAATTACAACAGGGCGAGTGGGCAGCGGCTGCCTTGGGGGCTGAATTTGCACACCCAGCTCAGGGCTGTGACAGACCCGGTTCTCATCTTGGTGCTCCAGAGCTGCTGTGAGACCCAGGCCTGTGCTGGCCACTGAGGTCAAGCTCCTGGCCCGCAGCAGAGGCCTGGAGGAGCCGGCGCTGCAGCCGCTACCATGCTGCATTCACCACAGTGTGTGTCTGATGGGCTCTGCGCGGGAAGGTGGTGCAAAGCGGCTCATTGCTGGGTGGTCTGCGGCCCCGCTGCCTCGCCGAGGGGCTCCAGGGCACCTGGTGTGCTCCTCCATAGCAGGAGGGAGGCAACAGCGCCATCGAGCCCCGTGTTTCCTGCAGGAGGGCAGGGATTGGGACCCATCGCTGGGCCCTGTGACAGACGCTGTTGTCCAGCAGTAGCAGGGATCCCGGTCAGGCCACCTTCGCTGTGCCCATCACTTGTCTCAAAAACCTCCAGCTGCCGTCCCCAGCATGAAGGACCAGGGTGTTCAACTGCTCTGCACATTGTCTCTGTTTTGCGTGTTTTCTGCCATGTTTTAGCTTCTTGCTGCTCCCAGCATGTTGCTTTCCAACCCCTGCACGTGCACCAGGGCAGGGCGAGGCGTGGAAACCCGGCTGTACAGAGCTGCTCACAAAACAGCACTCAAGGGACCCAGGAGCTTCCTTGTACAGCCAAA